ACTCACTTGCTGAAAGTTTTCCTAAGAACAAATAATTTCAAAACTAGAACCTTTCTTGTTTTTCTCTTCACAGATCTAAATGGATAAAACGTCCCGCAAAATTTCGAACCAGGACATAAACCCCTGCTTAGAAGTAAGTTATTGATCCTCCCCATGCTGGACAGCGTTGATGATAGTGAGTGCTGCTCTATGATTGGAACTGATCCTATATAAGTTCAGTACATTTACATTTACTCTTTCAGGAAAGTGATGCCTCTCACAAGTGTTTGGACACCTGCAACTATGATAGGAGCAAGTGCTCAGCTTACTTCCAGAGATACAAGAACTGCAGAAAATATTGGGTGAGTTTATTTATTTCAACATCAGGATGAAAGTAAAGGAACATGCATAAACAACACACAATAAACCATTTAGAAGTCTGAATTCACACCAGGCTTCTGTAGTGCTGTGTGCCAGAGTGGAGTTGTTACATGGTCAGTCAGGTCATGGAACAGAATTGCTTCTGGGGCTACAACAGAAAAATGGGCTACATGATGGTGCATTTGGCAGATCAGATATTTCATGTAGATCACATGCTCGGACCGGTTACCTGTGTCAGGTATATGTAGAAGATCCAAGCTCCTTTCCTGTTCAGGGCTGTTTCTCAACAGATTAACATGTAGCAGATTAAGTCAGGATTTTCCAGATATCCTGGCTAAAATAAGCCAGGCTTTCTGGCTAAACTGACATAATACAATATTGTACTTTGTGTCATTTTCTTTTGGAAATCAAATATCCTTTTTGGGAGCAGTTTGACAAGGTGTGCATAAGACTGACATAACATCTGTCATGAACATGAAGGAGTCTTTGTGAATGTCTGACTGTTGTCATGAAGTGTCATCCAGTAAATAATGACACTTTTAAGGCAAAGTTGCTTTAAAAGTTCTATTGAAAGTCTATTAAAAATGCCAACTTTGCATTAATGTGTCATTATTTACAAAATAATGCAAAGTTGGGACTTTTAATGGACTTTTCAATGCAACTTTTAAAGCAACTTTGCATTAAAAGTGTCATTATTTACTGGATGACACTTAATGACAACTGTCATAAACATTCATAAAGACTTCCTTATGTTCATAACAGGTGTTATGTCATGTTTATGACAGTGCCATGACAGTCTTATGCACACCTCGTCAAATAAAGTGCTACCTAATTTTCCATTAAAAAACCCCCAGGCCACTTTATAACGGCTACAACAGCTAAATAAAGCCAGGATATCCAGCTGTCCTGGATACAGTTGATAGCACTTTGGCGCCATGCCGGATCTCCGGCATATGGTACCTTAACAGTACAATATGCCGGAGAACAGTAAAGTCTGTTTCACCCATATATTTATCAGATGCGTGAATCTGATAAGTATATCAGATCCACGCAATATATTTATATCACATGGATATAAATGCAATATATCCATTTATATATTGCACAGGGTGCACCTCTGTGAAAGCTGCACAGAGCTGCAGCTTTGATTTCCAACCATAGTACACAGGCTTACTAGTCATTGGGTAGGGGCAGGCCTTGGGTCTGGCAAAACTTTGATTTAGAGCCAGCAGTAGTTTGTCTCTGTGACCATGATCTGTTCAGCGTCTGTTTCCATACTCAGACCATGCATGTAAACTGCAGATAAGAAGCCATACCATTCCACAATTTCTTACTTGTGGTACGAAATTCTGACTTGGGTCCCAGATCAAGAAGTCTAATAAATAAATAATGGAGTACTGTGTGACTGAATGCATGAAGGAGTGAGTGAGTTAGGGTACTTGAACTTGAGTTCAGCAGTCTGACAACTGCAGAGAAGAAACCGTTTCTCAGCCTGGTGGTCTTCCCTGGATGCTCCTCAGTCTCCTGCCTGAGGGAGGGGGCTGGAACAGACTGTGCTGGATGGGTGGAGTCCTTCATGATGTGGAGTGCCCTCCTCCAGCATTGTAGTATGTAGGTCCATGGTGGAGAGAAGGCTGCTCCCCACAGACATCTGTGCAGCCTTAACGACCTTCTGCAGAGCCAGTCGCTCAGCAACGGTGCAGCTGCCATGAAGCAGGTGCAGAGAACCTTCTCTACCTCTTCTCTCCAGTTTCTTTTGATTAGTATTATCTTTGCTTGGTTTATTATGTCCCCTTTAGTTTCTTGTTACTAGTTTGCTTCCCGTTTTTGTTGCCGCTCACCACCAGTAATCTTCACTGAACTTGCCATTCACCTGGCTGTGCCGCCTAATCATCTTGCGTTTCACCTGATCTGCCATTCATAAGCTCTTGATCTTTCACTATTCGGCGTTAGATTCTCTGTATTCATATCCAATGTGTACGTCTGTTTTTTATTTTACCCCCTACTCTGCGGAACTATCGGGGAATGTATTGATGGGGAAAGGCAGCCCGACATAAACCTTTTACAACAATGGAAAAAATCCCAGTATGCTGATAAAAATAATTCAAAGTGCTGGTACTATCGTTGCCAGCACGATAGTACCAGCTATCGTGCTCTCCACTCCATGGAGAGATCACCATGGAGTGGTCTCTCCATGATAGAGAGACCACTTACTCTCTCCATCACAGGAGGTTTTCTTTATTTTGTTTAGTTTTTCAGAGGGATGTTGTGATTTTAGTCATTGCATGTTTATAACAGCGATATTCCGTTGTTGGCCTTCCCTGGAAACATGCAGCATCAAGACAGACATTAAAAACCCTTTTCAATATAAGTTGCTGCTTCCACATGACCAGAGCACTGCTAAAGCATATGTCCAAAAATTTACAGTAGAACATAAAATATTTGAAAACCAGACACCAAAGACCTGAATCACAGCAATCACAGCAAGGCCAGTGGCCGGTGTAATGCTGAACTGACAGTGCAATCAACCCACCAGTGGCAGGAGCGAATAGTTGCACCAAGAAGCTAACAGAAACAAAGAGAAGAAAAGCTACCATCAATACAATTGCAGTCATGCATGTTTTAATGTTACACATCACAGTTGCTCAAAGTCTAAATTGTTATTGTTGTGTATGTAAAGTGTAAAATTTACCTTTGAGTAAATCACCCCCAAAAGAATTGCAGCAATCCCCATTTGTAAATATTTCTACCAAGGTCCCCTGCCGTCCCCTGAATACCCCCTTTGAGCAGTACCACCCCCATTGAGAAACCCTATCCTACAGGCTACTACAGTAGGCAATGGACATGGTAAGTGCATCTCTTCACTTGCTTCCCTTCTTACCCCGATGTGCCCATCACTCTGGAACTCTGGGTAAATCTGGACTCAAACCGCATGACCTTCTTCCAGTGCTCCAATCTACTCTTTATGCTCTCTGGCAAATTGAAGCCTTTTTTTATGGTTAGCCTCACTCATTATTGGTTTTCTTAAGGCTACACAGCTGTTCAGTCCCAATCCCATGAGTTCCCTTCATATTGTGCTTGTGGAAATGTTACAACCCCTCCCCAAGACGGCAAAGGATAAATTCTGACACTGGGTGTAACACAAAAGCTACAATCACTAAACGGTTGATAGCATGGACTTCCGGTTATACGATGTGTGTCAAACTCAAACACCCCCCCCCCTCTCCCCCCCCAGCACACACAGCGTTCATCTTTTTTTTTTTTTTTTTCATTCATCCATCCCCCTTCCCCCGCCCCCCCTCCAACCGCGTCGCCCCCCCCCC